TCACGGTATATCGTTTAAAAGTACAGTTGTACGTTGAATGACACAGTGATATAAAAGTACGGCCCAGGGGTATGGCTTCCTCTCATATTTTTGCATTTGGTGGCGCACTTTCGGCGAGAGTCGGAAATCCGGAAACAGTCGACCGTTTCAGGATAGGTGGGCGTGGCTACAGCACGGGAAATATCTCAAATTTACTTGGATACGAGTAATCATTTTCAGCAAAAAAATCAATTATTGCCCATTTCAGTGGGGCACAGATCTAAAATGGGAAGCGTGTGGGTGGGCATTGCACAGGCACTTTAAACATTTTGCGGATTACACATATATACATATAAATGACACCCTCAAATATGAAGCTTGAGAAGACAATAAAAATACCTTGCCAAAGTAGTGAGGAAAAAGATGTTCCTCTTCTATGACATGGGCAAAACCACCTTCAACACCAAACTCAACACTAAAATATGGCAGGCCTTTTGGAATCTGGAAGAAAGAAAGAATGAATGAAACCTACATGTACAGTGTAATTTGTATATATACGGATATGTTATCACGCATTAATCAGTCTTGTTGAGTCCATTATTTCAATTATATTTCCCAAACTGTCATTTGCTCTAATAGCAGTGCATGCACTGAATGACAAAGGTATATCTCTGGCAAAAATAAGTCGTATTACAATTTCAGGTTTATGTGCACTTCTATTGAAGATCTGTTAGTTTGGAAAACTTGACAAGAAAGTAACAATTTTGAGCACATCATACAAAGGAACAGCTGACTGTTTAGAAACTTGTTTGATTATTTCAAAAATAAAAATAAACTTACGGATTTACGAATATCTTTATGTCTTGTATCAACCAACTTTTTATTATGAGACCATTCACTTTCTGACTCCATAATGGCTTTCTGGAAAAAGGAAATTTCAAAAAAAAGTTATGATTGTGATAGATGGAGAACCTTTTTAATTCTGTAATAAAATTAATTTGCATGACAAATTTCAGAAATTACTTTTTCCGCACTAACATCAATTCATCGTTGTGAAAACTGAATCATTAAAAAATAATTATATAATTATAAAAAAAACGTTAAGAAAAAAATGATGATTCTTGACATTCAAAACCAGTCAATGGCAGTATAGTGGTTGTTACATCAGACTTATGAACAATAGACCCATGTTCAAATTCTACCAGTGTCAACCCCTACCCAGGGTGAGTGTGCTGCAGACTCAACTGGAAGGCTAAAACCACCGACAGAGACCCATGCACTAATGGATGGGATTTAGGGGCGTTGTTGACGCCATGATGTCGCATTAAAGCACAATCCACAAAATAGTTTCTGTTGTCCTTTTTCCAAAAAAAAAAAAATGTTGACAATAATTTCAACTTTTGCAATCAAAAACTAGAAGCAATGTCGCATTTTGTCTGTCTGGTCCAAAATTAAAATTCAGTGAAAATTACAGCAAATGTGAACAAATTTACTCCAAAAAATTTGGTGGTTGGATGGTTAAATTGCCAAAACCCCATTATAACAGGAAGAGAATCACACGTCATGTAATCCAAAAACAGGAATATGGATTCTGTGGCAAAATGAAGTATGCGCCAGCACTCGCATTTGCAAATTTGCACATAAAAAGTCATGTAATATTAAAAACTAAGAACTAGGACAAAAATATTTAAAAAAAAAGTAAGTATCAATCAAAATAGTGTTTACTGTTTCTGACTACCAAGACTAAATATTGTACTTTACTTTAAAGTATATTGGTGCCATGCCGCCTTCTTCTTTTGGTACAGGTACACATTCTATAATCATATGCCGGTGTTTCTTAGGATCCATACAGGTTTCTAAAAACAAAGTATCCTTGTCCTGATCTTCAAACATCTTGGTTAAACCTTTACGAAAAATCTGCAAAGACCAAAAGTAGCATCTTAATTTCTAGACTTACTAAAATAAATGAATGTTTCAGTGAGTTTTAAATTTTATTTATTGCTGACATTCATTCTATTTTTTGACATTTTCAGTTGTCAATAATAGCTTAATGTTACGAGATCTTACTAAACGTAGAACCGGCGTAAACAGACATAATTCACCTGTACGTCACTACACTGTATTTATATACTGTAAAATACTTTATTTTCGCTTGGAATTAATTTTCGCTATTTTTGCTGAAGGAGTGA